GGGCGTTCCACAGGGCAGGTGCCACTACCAAGAAGGCCCTCTGCCTGGTTCCCTGTAACTTGGCTTCTCGCAGGGAGGGAACCACCAGAAGGCCCTCAGCGCTGGACCTCAGTGTCTGGGCAGAATGATGGAGGTGGAGACACTCCTTCAGGTATACTGGACCAAGGCCGTTTAGGGCTTTAAAGGTCAGCACCAACACTTTGAATTGTGCTCGAATTGTAAATCTGACACCATATGAATCGATGTTTCCCTCCAAGCAAATTCAAGGCAAAGGAATTTGTGGGAAAGCCTCTCTCACACACACACCTCTGAGCAGTTGATTGCTGCTCCGTTCAAGCAATCAGGCAGAAGTAGGGATGAGACTGATAGTCCCTGCTCTGCAACGCCACCCAGAGAACGGCTGGAGAGGGTTGTATTGCACCCATCAGCCCAACTGGACCAGGCAATTAGAGGAGCCAAAAGAGGCTTGAGTTAACATGAGCTCAGTACCTTAGTCTGAGAAGCTTATCAGAGCAGCTGCTGTAGAGAATGTGGCCAGCTACTTGACCTCAACTGTACCCCAGTCTCTGCCCGCTTTTTCTATATTCACTGATCTAGACCTTGACTTGTGCCCAAACTGGTCTCTGGCCCTTGCAGGCCAAATCCTGCTGGGCCCAACACTGCAAAAAATAAGGGGACTGTCAGCTTCTGCCAGGCTATACAGTGGTACCTCGGGTTACAGTGGTACCTTGGGTTAAGTACTTAATTCGTTCCGGAGGTCCGTTCTTAAGCTGAAACTGTTCTTAACCTGAAGCACCACTTTAGCTAATGGGGCCTCCTGCTGCCGCCGCGCTGCCGGAGCACGATTTCTGTTCTTATCCTGAAGCAAAGTTCTTAACCTGAAGCACTATTTCTGGGTTAGCGGAGTCTGTAACCTGAAGCGTATGTAACCTGAAGCGTATGTAACCTGAAGCGTATGTAACCCGAGGTACCACTGTACAATGCAAGGCTCGCAGGCTGCATTTGGCTGGGAGGTTTACCTGTTGAGCAAAATCGCTTGAGCAAGTAAGAGGCAGCGTGCTTAGATATGCAGAAAGTGAAAAGCGCAGGAGATAAATTTCTCATGCTGGGTCTGTTGTCGCTGACATGTCTCCCCTGCAGACAGCCTGATTTTTTTTTAATATAAAAAAAGTAGACAGCAGTGCTTTTCAAAGATTAGTGTTCGCTTAAATGCTAACTAAACCATCCAAGCAGAGAAACCGCTGGGATTATTCCAAGAATAGATAGATCTATTTAGAGCGGGGTGTTTGTTTTCGTTTGCTGGCTCTCGGAACAAAAAGAATGCAAACGACAACGTACATTGGTTGCAGGTGAAGGGTCTTAACGAAGTGAAAGAGCACATGCTCAGTCGGTAGACCACGAGACCCTTAATCTCAGGTTGTGGGTTCAAGCCCCACGTTGGGCCAAAGATTCCTGCTTTGCAGGGTGTAGAGGTGCAAATACCCAGAGTGTGGGGGTCAGGTGGGGTCGCTATGAGGAATTATAAAATATGCATCAAGCCATTGTTTCCGCGATGAAAGCATTGCGTTGACTGGTTTTGATTCCTTGACAATAATTTCTGATCAAATCCCACAAGCCTCTCCATCTCTGCCATTTACTTTCTCTACACTCGACAGGCACGTATAAGCATTCTAAAACACAGGCCAGTTGCTTCACCGGGCATCCTGGATCATAAAGATAGTAGGTAGCTTTTTTGATGTAAAAGGTAAAGGTAAAGGGACCCCTGACCATTAGGTCCAGTTGTGACCGACTCTGGGGTTGCGGCGCTCATCTTGCTTTATGGGCCAAGGGAGCTGGCATTTGTCCGCAGACAGCTTCTGGGTCATGTGGCCAGCATGACTAAGCCGCTTCTGGCAAACCAGAGCAGCACACAGAAACGCCGTTTACCTTCCCGCCGGAGCAGTACCTATTTATCTACTTGCACTTTGATGTGCTTTTGAACTGCTAGGTTGGCAGGAGCTGGGACCGAGCAACGGGAGCTCACCCCGTCACGGGGATTCAAACCGCCAACCTTCTGATCAGCAAGTCCTAGGCTCTGTGGTGATGTGGCAAGTCCTAGGCTCTCTTTGATGTAGCTATTGTTAGTTTTGTTAATCTAAGGGCCAGGAAGAGAGCTCACAAGGAGATGGTAAATCCTGCCTTTCCTGTTTATGACCTTCGGGGTTTCCTAAAAGCATTCCTTCTTGCTTCCTCTTTTATTTACTCTGGACTACTGTGCATGCTCAAATTAGCTCTTTGTAGTTTTAACTTTAACTTTGTCCCCACGTGGGGTTTTTGAAATGCTCAGAGGAAATCTGATTGGTTCTTACGAACACTGTGTAAAAAGTTCTTTTGTGAATAAAACGACCTGGGCCGAGGGGTGGACAGGAATTATTATTATACGCACTCCGCCCAGAGTCTTGCTGTCAAGCCTCGTGTGTATTTTATTAATCAGAGTCCAATCCTTCCTTGCTTTGGGAATGCTACAGCAGGGCGTAGGACCATATGAGCCTTGTGGTCCCTTCCGACTCTACAATATGATGATTCTATGCATTGCCTGTAGGAGATACCAAGTTCAAACTCTGGTATCTCCAGTTAAAAGGATCGAGTGATGGGAAGAACCTCTCCTGGAGACCATGGAGAGCTGCTGTCAATCAGAGTAGACATATCGCGTTAGGTGGACAAATGGTTGGAAGTCATATAACTCACATTCCCATGTATCCATTTATAAACAGATACATAAAACAAAATCTATGCTTGATCTCAGCTGAAAGACTGAGAAGCGATTGGGACAAGACCTAAAACAAGGGTTGGGAACCTGTGGCTCTTCAGACGTTGTTGGGTTCCTACCTCCCAACAGTCCCAGCCAGCATGGCCAGGGTTGATGGGAATGGTCAACATCTGGAGGATGTAGAACATTAGCATCTGGAAGGTCACAAATTCCCCACCCCTGATCTAAACGTTTCCTTAGGTATTCAGGATTATACTAATGAAGTTGGCTTCATGGAATGGCAATGTCATGTAGATGAATCATCACCCGTGAGCCTACTTTGGTACATATCCAGCTAATTCTGAATTACACGCCAATTTAGTGTGAGATCTTTATTTCAAAGGGCTCCAGTAAAGCCATGTTGACACAACTTAATGCTGTGGGTCAATTCAGGATGCTGAATTGTGCTACAAACTGTGATCAAATGAACTCATAGCTGTCCTTGCACCCTCGTGGAATTATTTTCTGATGCAGAAAATGTTTCAAGGGATACCTTCGAATTCTAAAAAGGCACAGAGGTGACCTATGGGAAAGCAAAGTGTGTGGGTGTCCCCACACTCACATGAATGGAGGGAAGAAGTGACCGAGGGGATGGGCAGAATACAGCAGAGAGAGATGGCATCTCTGAAACATTGGCTCAGTGGTAGGACCTAGCTAAGCTTTGAAATTTTGGTTGTGTTCTTGGGAAGCTACTGTAAGTTATTTCAACTTGTCCATCTAAGAATTCCTAGATAACGTATTTTTTGCTCTATAAGACGCACCAGACCACAAGACGCACCTAATTTTTGGAGGAGGAAAACAAGAAAAAAAATATTCTGAATCTCAGAAGCCAGAACAGCAAGAGGGATCACTGTGCAGTGAAAGCAGCAATCCCACTTCCTGTTCTGGCTTCTGGGATAGGTGCGCAGCCTGCATAAGACACACACACATTTCCCCTTACTTTTTAGGAGGGAAAAAGTGAGTCTTATAGAGCAAAAAATACGGTAATTTGCCTCCCTTGTTTCAAGAACTAGCAAGAATAGATGTCATAAAGTTCATGCCATGAATTTAACATCCACAGTGCAGTGGTCAATTCTGACATGAAGATGCTCTTCGTGACAATCCCCAAGACATGTCCCTCTTAAGGTTTTATGACAAAAAGGCCTTTTTAGACCACATTACGAGCTTCCCTATCAAGCCAGCCATTTTTCTCATCCTCCCTTCCCAGTTTGTTGAGCATTAGGTTTGATAAAAGAGTTTTGGTGGACTCAGAAGGCTGCACACTAGTTTGTGGCATTCGGATCAATTGTAGTTTTTCTGACATTTTTCAGAATCAGCATGGCAGAACAACCCTTTAGCCATGCATGCTAGTGTAACCAACCCCTTCCTCTGCTTAGCTTATCTGGTAGGTTTCTCTCTGGGAAAAGCTTGTTTATTCAACAAGCAGCAGATTGCCAGATAGTGCCACAGGGGATGGAGTCATCATCCCTGCCGTGGACTAAGGGGTCACGATTCCTCTTCCACTAGAACCACCACCGCAGCAGCAGTTAGCAACGACAGAGGCTTAAAGTATATTGCTCCTCCCTTGGGAAGGCTCCTGGGAACTGTAGTTCACCCCCTACAGAGCTACAACCCCCAGCATCCTTAACAAACTACAGTTCCCAGGATCCTTTGCAGGAAGCCATGTGCTTTAAATGTGTGTTGAAGAAATGAACCTATGCTGCCAGTTCTCGTCGTAGCCCAGTATGAAGTAAGCAGCACATAAGCGGCACACAAAACACCACCAAACCATTCTACGTTCTAAATCTTATATTAATAATCCAAAAATTGAGAGAGCGAGGTACAAGATCTACTACAAAAGCCACAAACAGAAAACTCATTCAAATTGTGTCCAAAAGGAAGATTCAGTCTTCCTTTAGCCAGGCTTCTGTAGATATTGAAGTGTCAGCCTTGAGCATAACATCGCCGACACTTTGATCAAACTTACCTTTGTTGATATCTACAGGATACTGGCTAAAGGAACTTTAAAGACTGAATCTTCCTTTTGGACACAATTCGAATGAGTTTTCTGTTTGTGGCTTTTGTAGCAGATCCTGTACCTCGTTCACTCAATTTTTGGATTATTAATATAAGATTTAGAACGTAGAATGGTTTGGTGGTGTTTTGTGTGCTGCTTAAATGTGTGTTCGGGTCACAGCCTCAGCCCACTCTAGACTACCACTCACCTTGCCCTTTAGCTTTTGCTGAGATGCGTGCCGAGTTTTTCTTTCCTGATCAAGCTTGCTGCATAGGGAATCTGCAAAGATATAGAAAAGGCCTCTATGTGAGGATGAGATGCCGAGGAGGAGATATCAATCAGAGACAGGACTTTAAATCAAGGCTAAGTCAGATGCTTCCCAGGTGATTCTTACAGGAGCCTGTAAGGCAGGCAAGTATTTTTGCCAGTGTAATACAGAACAGAGTATGTTAAAAAAGAGTGGCTTTCTAACAGCACAATTCTATGCATCTTTTCTCAGAAGCAAGCCCCACTGAATCGATGGGGCTTGCTCCCAGCTTAAAGAAGACCCAGGGAATTGGTGGGTCAGCTGAACTCCACACAGAGACATCAGCTTCACACGTCATGTTCTTCCTTGTTGTGGGATGTTTGCCACAACGAAAGCGAACTAAGCAATTTACAAGGAAGCAATTGCTAAAAACCAAAACCAACTAACAATATTGAGTGGGAACATGTGTGGGATGAATTAGTAGACCAAATTGTCACTTCTACCTCAGGGGGAGAAAGAAAAGGTTCTCTGAGGTTGAAAAATCCAGCTTTCCAAAATTAAGAGTTCCCCAAGAAGAGGGATTGATTGATTGATAAACCACTCTGGGGAATGACAGCTGTGGGAAAGGAACAGGGGTTTCCTAACAACTCACAGCACCTTTAATAAACTTCAGCCCCCACAATTCCTTGGGGGAAGCCACAACTGTGGTACCATAGTGCTTTCAAAGTGTGCGGTGAATGCGCCCTTTTACCCAGAGTGAGCTCATTGAGATTAATGGGCATGGCTAACTTAGGCCCATTAATTTCAGAGGGTCTACTCTCAGTAAACATTAGCTGGATACCACCCCATGTCTCTAGAACAGTCTGCATGGACACCTGGTGGCCTGTGAGGCATCTCAGACCCTGCTGTGTGTTCTTGTGAAAGGGTGTCTCCCTGTGTTCACACCTAAAATCCCCGTGGGAAATTCCACTTCGCCCATGGAGACATCACGGGAGAGACAGACTCTGCTGCAACTATTGCATATCCCAATACTTCACAGACAAAACCAAAAGCAAAGTTTTCAATGTTAAATGTTGTATGATGTTTTCATATGTGTTAGAATGTGTCCAGAGTGGCTAGAGCATAAACAATAGAATTTATTATTATTATTATTATTATTATTATTATTATTATTATTATTATTATTATTAAACAATAGAATTTATTATTATTACTACTACTACTACTATACCCCAAATCATAAACCAAAGCCCCCTGATCAAGCCCCTCTATCCCGCATCTATTCCACATTGCCAAAAAGGGCTCTGCTTCACTTTCATCATCAATATATCTATTTCCCCTGTGATCGGATGTTCAGTCAGTCTGCAAGTTGCATCATATGCACTAGTGTATTTAATTTATTTTAAGAGCCAAGCTAGCAGGTGTAGAAGGACCTGGTGGAGACTGTGATGAATGGGAAGGGAGAGTTCAGCCCTTCCGCATCCACTGCCACAGTTCTGAAGAAAAAATGCTTCTCAAAGCTGCTTTTCGGATTACATATATATGGAAAAAGCTCCCATTGGCATCACTGGGAGCTTTCTTTCCAATGGAAATAGCAACTTTGGGCCTGGGCGGTTAAAACATAGATATATATTTAACATCCACAATAAGTAGTCATTTTATATGGAATTCTGACCTATCATAACTAACTTTTACATATACTTTCATTCTCTTTTTCTCAATGATCTCATTCCCTCCTCTCTCTGTCTCTCTGTCTCTCTCAACCACTCCCCCCCCTTTCAACTGCTGTTTTTCCATCTTACACTTTCTACCTGTCACTCACACTAACTCCGCCCAGTTGTCAGTCATTATTCCACTCCCTCTGGGATTTACTTCCTCGTAACCATGTTCTGAGGGACGCGGGTGGCACAGTGGGTTAAACCACAGAGCCTAGGGCTTGCTGATCAGAAGGTCGGCGGTTCGAATCCCCGTGACTGGGTGAGCTCCCATTGCTCGGTCCCTGCTCCTGCCAACTTAGCAGTTCGAAAGCACGTCAAAGTGTAAGTGGTACCACAACGGCGGGAAGGTAAACGGCGTTTCCATGCGCTGCTCTGGTTCGCCAGAAGCGGCTTAGTCATGCTGGCCACATGACCCGGAAGCTGTACGCTGGCTCCCCCAGCCAATAAAGTGAGATGAGCGCCGCAACCCCAGAGTCGGCCACGACTGGACCTAATGGTCAGGGGTCCCTTTACCTTTAACCATATTCTGAACTGCACCCTCAAGGAATCCATGCTCCCCAAAACATACACAGTCAAATGATAATAAAGTCCACCTTTGTCTCCAATGAGCTCAAGGTGTTCTGTGGTTCTCCACTTCCCAATGTTGTCTTCACAACAACCCTGTGAGGGTAAGGCTGAGAGACAATGTCTGGGCTTAGGGCCACACTTGAAACTTTGTGGCTGCAAAGGGATTTGAACCCTAGTCTCCCAGCTCTCAGCCCAACCCTCTAACCGCTACACCACATGGGAAGAGATTGTTCCTTGCAAGAAGTCGTCCTCATATGCAGCCTCACCTCATGTTCATTGCCTGCTTTAGTTTGAGAGCATATCATTTCCTGTGGCAAAGGATGTACAGGGGAGAAGAGAGACTGTCTTGCCAATTTCCCAATTATTGGGGAAGCCAAGGAAGTCAGTTGCTCAGGAAATCGTAAAAAAGAATCTTTACAAGTCCACGGTGGACAAAAGCTGAAAATGAAACCTTATTGATCCAGGGTTGTTTTTTTTAATTGCAAGCTTTAAACTCCCTCCTCTGCTGGAGGGTGTAGTGATAAGGTGGAGGCAGAAGGGGGCGCTGGGAGATTGATATGTTGCCGAGAGAAAATTCTAGCTCTTATGTGTTCGCATCAACGTCTGCAGACTGTTTGGAATTACAAGGTAAACTTGATTATGCTTTCTGGGTTGCAGAAGACTTCTCCTGGAAGTTGCGCCAACTTGGTGATGACCCTATCTTAGCCCAAATCAGTATTGCCCCTACTGGTTTAACCTGAGAAGCACCATAGCTCAGCAACAGATCAAACAAGTGGTCCAACTGATTCAACACTGTCTACAATGATTGGCAGCCACTCTCTGTGGTTTCAGTCAGGGGACATTCCTAGCTCTACTCTAGAAATGCTGGGGACCTTTGAATTCAAGGCAGATGCTCTACTACTGAGCTATGGCCCTTCTGATGTGTGTGTATTTTCCAGTTTCCCCACTCTAAAAGTCCACCAGCATTCTCTGCTCATTGGCCTCGTTCAGTTCTCCTTGGGTTTTAAATCCCCACCCCACCCCTATCTATCTCCTATCTATCTATCATCTATCTATCTATCTATCTATCTATCTATCTATCTATCTACCTATCTACCTATCTACCTATCTACCTATCTACCTATCTACCTATCTACCTATCTACCTATCTACCTATCATCTATCTATCTATCATCTATCTATCTATCTATCTATCTATCTATCATCTATCTATCATCTATCTATCATCAATCATCTATCATCTATCATCTATCTATCTATCATCTATCTATCTATCATCTCTCTCTCTCTCTCTCTCTCTCTCTCTCTCTCATCTATCTATCTATCTATCTATCTATCTATCTATCTATCATCTATCTATCATCTATCTATCATCTCTCTCTCTCTCTCTCTCTCTCTCTCTCTCTCTCTCTCATCTATCTATCTATCATCTATCATCTATCATCTATCATCTATCTATCTATCTATCATCTATCTATCTATCTATCTATCTATCTATCTATATCTATCATCATCATCTGGAACTTCTGCAAAGCTTTGGGTTCCACCAGAGCTCGTTTGAACCATCCTCTTTTACTTTGTGCTCTTTTGCCTACATAAGGATCTCCACGCTTGGAGAATGGAGCTCACTATCCATGTATCAGAATGCTTTGCACACAGAAGGGGTCTCAGGGTTCCTATGCTCAGCCCACCTCAAATTCTTATATGAATGACCTGCCCCCCCCTTCTTAACCATCTTTCAAACTTATTTAAGAAATTATTTAAGAGGAGGACTGCCTGCTGAGGGCCTGAAGGACCTTGGGGTGGGGCCTGACAGGCTTCACAAGGACCGCAGCTGCTTTTAAATTGTTTTTAATTTTTATCTGTGTTGTTTTAAATGAGACCATCTTGGCTGTGAGCCCTGGAAGACCTGCACCCTGCCTGGCTGGCCTTTTCCCATCTGGCCGGGGAGAGTGGAGTGTGGACTGACTCCAGCTACAAAAGCTGAGGCTGTTGAACAGATTCTTGGGCGGGAGGTTGAGAGAGCTTGTTGCTGTTATTGATATTATTGTTTTAACTTTAGTTTTAGATCTTATGGTTTACGTGCAACTTGTTTCCATTTGGTTGTGTACTTTTTGATGTGTTTATTTATTATTTATGACTTCTGTTATGTTTGCAATTATGTAAATCTTGTCATGTTGTGAGCCGCCTTGAGCATAGCTTCAACTATGGAAAGGCGGCATACGAATAAAATGATGATTTCAAAAACTGAAGTGAGAGAAGAGAAGAGAAGAGAAGAGAAGAGAAGAGAAACCACAATAGCACATAGAGCTCAACATTTTTTTAGCAGGGAACACTCTCTTACAATTTGTAACTGTTGAACCATTTCTTCTCTGTAGGCCAACTCCCGCTTCATCTGGTCTTGAAAATTATCTACATGGGGGCAAAAGAAGGAAGCTCCATTAAGAATCATTACAGGGCAAGAGGATTTTTAAAAATAATAATTAAAAACAAACAAACCAGTAGAATAGAAACACAACATTAAAAGTTTCTTATTCTGATGGGTGCAGTTCAGAACATGGTTAAAGGTAAAGGGACCCCTGACCATTAGGTCCAGTCGTGGCCGACTCTGGGGTTTATAGTAGTAAACTATAAAGCAGGCATTGAATGTTCCCACTCCTTAGTTCTCCATAGTTGTTTATAGCCTGGTATTTATGTTCTATTTTAATCTGGAGCAAAATTGACCACTGCTTTGTGGTGCAGCAAGACCACACATTCTTCAAGCTGGCGAACGCCATCGCCGCCACTTCCTTGGTCAGCAGCGCATGACTATCCATTTTCATTCAGATTGTGTTTTGTGTGGTTTCATTGCAGGCTTTAGTTACATGAAGGGGAGGCAAGTCTTAAATTTTACTGTGGTACCAAAAGGAAACATGGGGGAATGCAGATGGCTGAATGCCAAGCTGCCGTGATAACATTACCTGGCAGGTAAGGCAATGTACAACAGCACTTTGGAAAACAGCCTTGTTCCCTAAGCTCTTTGAACCGCAGCTGTTTATTGTTGTCATTTCTTAAACTGTTCTCAGTTTTCTTCACTTACATTGCTGCTTTTCTAAATTGCACATTCTCTTTTGCTGAGGCTGAAGGTCCCCACCTCCCCATGTCATTCTGGTTTTTTAGGTACTTTTTGTACTAGAAAGGTATGGTATAAATTAAGGCAGCGATCCTATGGCAAGATTCACTGGGATGAGCAGTTTACTTTCAGCTCTGCTAGCAGATTCCTGGCTCAGCTGGGGTAAAGTCTCCAACCTGTAACATTTTTTGTGCCCGCTGCGGTGGTGACTGGTCCCCACTGGGAAAAGGTAGGGGAGAAGGCTGAGAGGCAGACAGTAGGTGAAGCCAGAGTTAATCACAGGTAAAAAGGTAAAGGTAAAGGGACCCCTGAGGGACGCGGATGGCGCTGTGGGTAAAAGCCTCAGCGCCTAGGGCTTCCCGATCGAAAGGTCGGCGGTTCGAATCCCCACGGCGGGGTGCGCTCCCGTTGCTCGGTCCCAGCGCCTGCCAACCTAGCAGTTCGAAAGCACCCCCGAGTGCAAGTAGATAAATAGGGACCGCTTACTGGCGGGAAGGTAAACGGCGTTTCCGTGTGCGGCTCTGGCTCGCCAGAGCAGCGATGTCACGCTGGCCACGTGACCCGGAAGTGTCTCCGGACAGCGCTGGCCCCTGGCCTCTTAAGTGAGATGGGCGCACAACCCCAGAGTCTGTCAAGACTGGCCTGTACGGGCAGGGGTACCTTTACCTTTACCTTTTTAAAGGGACCCCTGACCATTAGGTCCATTCGTGGCTGACTCTGGGGTTGTGGCGCTCATCTCGCTTTATTGGCTGAGGGAGCCGGCGTACAGCTTCTGGGTCATGAGGCAACACTGAGACTAAGGAGGAGGAAGGAGACGACCATCACCACCCCTGGACTGGCTGTAGATAAGAAGCCAGGTGTATGAGCAAATCGATCCGGAAGATAATTGTATTTTGAGGAGCTAGTGCTCTAACATGGTTACCATTCCCGCTCCTGTTTGCTTCCCCCTCTCTAAACTCTTTGATGGCTGAAGAACAGCCTTTAATGCTCTAATCCAGCCTTTCTCAACCTGTGGGTCCTCAAATGTTGTTGAACTACAGCTCCCATCACTCCTAGCTAGCAAGGCCAGAGCTCAGGGATGATGGGAGTTGTAGTCCAACAACATCTGGGGACCCACAGGTTGAGAACCGCTGCTCTAATCCAGGCTTCCTCAAACTCGGCCCTCAACGTTTATGGCCTACAACTCCCATGATCCCTAGCTAGCAGGACCAGTGGTCAGGGATGGTGGGAATTGTAGCCTCAAAACATCTGGAGGGCCGAGGTTGAGGAAGCCTGCCCTAATCTGTTGGAAGGGAAGGAAGTGATATTACTGGGTACCTTCTTTTGCTGTTGGACATTGTTTGAAGAAAGTGAGGCATTGGGAGAGGCAGCTAATGAATGATCTGCATGTAGCTAGTAGCACTAGCTGGCCAGGCAAGCCACACAGGCTAACAGGTTAGCTACCTATAAATCAGATGACTTTGGGCCGAGTTCTGAGAAGCTGGTGCACAGACTGGTGGCAGTGGGACTGTGCAACCTGAGACTACTTGGGGGAGTCACTTCGCCACTTCTTGAGGGTTTCCAAGTGGCAGCTTGAAGTGCTTGCTTGGTGATGTATATATATTGCTTTCTGTTTAGAACAAAATCTTAAATCTTCTCACTCACTTGGGTTTTGTATTGCCCCTGAATCTCTTTTTTTTGAAAAACCACCTTGCATTTGGCAAGACACCAGGCAGGTAGGAGGCTGTTTGAGGGCAGAATGAGCTTGGTGGGGCAGTTTCCTATTCATAGCTGTCAAGCGTCCCTTATTTGGCGGGACAGTCCCTTATCCCAGCACCATGTCCCGCTGCTGTCCCTTATTGATGATGTCCCTTAAATAAGCTACTGAAGGTAATGGGGCCCTTTCTATGTCCAGCTGTCCTTTGTCAACAACAAATTGTTGCTGTTTTTTGTGTGTTGAATATATGCTATATGGTAGTTTATGGACCTAATAGGTATCTAAAGCCATTTGCACACAACAAAATATGTATTCCATCAAAGTAATTGTTGATCCCTTATTTTGGCTGCTGATCCCTTATTTTCGAGGCTGCTGGTCCCTTATTTTCAAATCTGTAAGTTGACAGCAATGGTCCTATTTGCCCCTAAAGTAACACCCTCCTCTGGTACTAATCGATGCTCTTGAGCGTTATTCACATACACTCAAATATACAGAGATAAAGTAAGAAAAATTAATAATATAAATGATTGTCTTACTGAATACAGGGAAAGAGGCGGTTCCTTTCAGGACCTGGAATTCCTGTTCTAGCCTCCGCCGCAAGTCTATCTGCTCAAACAAGACCTTCTGAAGTTCTTCTAGACCAAGAGGAAAGGAGATATTTTTCTACTAATCAGCTGAAATAAATCTTGAGAGTCTGCTTATCCACGCAATCCATTATTACAAAGACTTGTCTGTGTTGGTGGTGGCAATTTAAGGGTGTCCATGGTGGAGAGTCTTGCTTAGGCCCAGGATAGATTTTGTGCAGAAATCCATGAATATAAATCAATGCAATATATTATTTTAAAGTATTATAGTACAGTGTCATGTATTGATTGATACATATGCATTAATCTCAATTATAGCCACACAAAAGGTCCATATATTATTCATATGTTCCTTGTCAAGCTTAAAATATGGCGGAGAATAAAAAAAGACAAGAAAAGAAAAATCCCCTCAATTGTCTTTGTATTGCTGCTAAAACAAAGGGCCACATGGCGACGATAGATCGAGAGCTATTTATCTATATATAATTTCTCTCTCTTTTACCTTTTCCCATGTTTTCGACATCCTTTTTCAGAGAATGAGGTGAATTGGTTTCCTGTATGGGTTCGCCTTAATGAAGAGAGGAATATAAAGTTATTGATTTACACGTATGCTGCTTCTTATCAGATGCAGAGGTTCATTTTGAATCCTCATCAAATGGCTGTGAGGGTGGGTGGGGAGAGGTATTACAAAAAAGGGTTTTATGTCACCAGCAAATGCCTAGACCTTCCAGCCTTTGTTCACTCGAATTTAGCCAGAGATCTGGCTTGAGAAAGACGTACGTATATTAAATCTCTAAGTAAAGAAATGCCACCTTTTTTTTAAAAAAGTATCTGTTCACCCTCCTTTTTCTGAAGGTGTGCAGAAAAGAATATCAGAGCTTGAAGTTGATGAAGCCTCGCCTCCCAATTTTAAATGCAGTTTTATATTTAACTAACTAATATATTTACAAACCACACTTTCATAGGAAATACAAGCAAGGAAGCATACAATGGAAAAAACCACAGAGTAATAACATTGGTTAAAAACTCTCAGCGTCTTGCCAATAAACGCTGGTTGGTACAGACATTTCAAATTCCAAAGGCCTGTCTGAGTCCTACTGTTTTTTTTAAAAGACATCTAAAAGAAACAGGGATAACTCCCACCCAGCTGTGATTGTCAAGGAGTTCCACAGGACAGGGCCTGTTGCACTAAAGACTTCATCCCTGTTAAAGGCCAATTCAGAGGCACCAAGATTGAATAGGGGCTACATCAGGGACTTATAAGAGGCAGATGACAGGCTGAGTACTGTCTGAACCAGGGATAGCCCATGTGATGCCTGTTGACTACTGTTGGACTCCAACACCCATCAACCCCAGCTAGCATCCCAGCCAGTGGTCAGGGATGCTGGGAATTGTAGTCCAACAACATCTGGGAAACAGCACATGGACTATATCTGTCAATACAAGGCAGCTCTATAAACCGTATACACCATTCATGCTCAAAATTGTTGGTGTACAATAATTGTCAAACAAATGTATAAACCCCACCTTACAGGATGGTGTATATACATACAGATAGTGGTATATCTAATATATTTAGTACACACTAGTGTATCTAATATGTTTAGTGCATACCCCAGCAAAGATGTTAATTTCAGCAGGCATTCCGATATTACAAATTGTTAACAAATTGTTATCTTTATTATATTGTTGAGTCACTTGTACACCATATAGAGGCAATCATAATAGATAAATTGTCTAAATAAATAAATAAAATCACAACAAACGACCTACAGCAGGCATCCCCAAACTCAGCCCTCCAGATGTTTTGGGACTACAACTCCCATCATCCCTAGCTAACAGGACCAGTGGTCAGGGATGATGGGAGTTGTAGACCCAAAACATCTGGAAGGCCGAGCTTGGGGATGCCTGAGCTACAGGATAGATCAGTGATGGGCAACCACCAGCTTAATTCAGGCTTAATTCAGTCCAGTCGGTGTCTTAAACTGCACAATGCCATTTCCTCAAAGACATGTCCACCTGTTGTATGCTTGATTTCATATATATCACGAGGTTTTGAGTGGATAAAGATGCAGATCCCTTCTAAAAGTGGGGTTTATGCCTGCAGACACCAGTTCCTTGGTCCACGTGGGCACCAATTCAAACTGTGCTGACAGTGGAACAGGGGTTTGCAGACACTACTAATCAGCTGGTGAATGGTACTGGCAAAGCCCTGAGCCTTTATGTACCTGCATGGTTTGATTTCAATCCATGCAGGTAAAGGAGAATCGTTCACCTGATGTCACAACGAGGTCAGGTGATTGCCAGGTATGTGACCCCCTCCCATCCGTCAAAATGCCCCGCGAGGGTTTTGGGGGCAGCTAGATCCTGCTTGCTGACAAGATATTCACTCGATAAAATGGAAGATGCAAAACATTTCATCAAAGGCAGGAAGAGCCGCAGGCCACAGTTAAACATGAAGTAAACTCATTGAAACATGCAGACTTAAATTAGTTGTGTATTAAGTAACTCTGTACGAGATTAAAGGCAGTAGGAGGAAATCAGAGTGCTCTATGTAGGCTGAGAATTCCTGGGTTCAAATCCTTGCTTAGCCATGAAGCTAGACAACAACTCTCAACCTAACCAGTCTATAGATGGCATATAAATAATAAAATTATTATTATTATTATTAGGCTGCTGGGTGGATAAAATAGGAAGATTCTACACACACCTTTCTGAGCTCTTTGGACAAAGGACAATATATAAATAAGCCAATGTCATCTGAGAATATTAGATGATGAGATATTATTAAAACATGAACTTTAGATTTGTTGATTTTTCTATATATTTACAGGGAATGGTTTATTCCTAGTTTCCACTGATCAATGTACACTTAAATCTGCCCTTTGCTGAAATCCTATTATTGCGTATGATGCATATTCAATAGTGACATTTGTGATCTCTTCTCGATATTTATTGTAGTAATGCAATTGTAAAACCAGATGTATCCAGCGTGGTGCCAGCATTTCCATTATGCTCAGAAACATGGTTGCTAAACTTCATTCCAGGATGTTGTGTGAGGAACACAAGGTCACTGCCCGGTGCAATTTTTTTAAAAATCCAAAATACAAATACAAATAAAAGCTCAATACTGCAGGAGAAAAAGGGACGCTTATAAAAAAGTGGGATTTAGCTGGTCCATGTATATTATTTTTTGGCTGAGAGGTAAAGGAAATTACTGGCAACCCCACCCCATCCCTTGACTTATGTTCATGATCAAACAACTCCATTTATAGGGAGCCTGGAACTCCAGGTTCTAAAGCAGGCACCCCCAAACTCGGCCCTCCAGATATTTTGGGACTACAACTCCCATCATCCCTGACCACTGGTCCTGTTAGCTAGGGATGATGGGAGTTGTAGTCCCAAAGCATCTGGAGGGCCAAGATTGGGGATGCCTGTTCTAAAGTATGCCTCTACCCATGGACCTCTATGGAGCTGGTGAGGGGCCATGCTTAGGATGGCTTTATTGGGTTGTACTTTGGGTCAGGGCTTGTTTCAGAAAGCTGGAGACCATGGAAGTGTATATGAAGGTGCCTTCAAGAAGAACCAGAGCATCAGTCTATTGGGCCTAGCACAGTTCACATTGGCTGTGTGATGGCCTGGGACTCGGGCTCAGACTCGGAACCAGAGGAGTCTCTGTCTGCACCGGATCCTTTACCTCAGGCATCATCTGAACCAAGTCTGGGGCCTGATCCTGAAGAGTCCCAGTCTGCACAGTTTCCCCTGCAACAAACACCAGCTGGGCTGAGTCAGGGGCCTGATCCTGCCCTGGCTCCAGATGCGAGGATTACCTCGTTGCCTTCAGCTGGGCCATCCTTACAGCTGCTCCACTACCGGTTGGGTCAGGGGAGGCTGAGGCGGCCCCTGGGTCTAGTAACCCACCGACGTCTCCTGGGCTGCAGAGACTAAGGTCTGAGAGAAGGAGAGACCTGAGTACTAGCAGGAGGAGTGCTCGCCTTCGGGCGAAACAGAGAGGTGAGTCGCTGGGGGATCAGGACCAGCCGTTACCCTGACAAAGATAAAAGGCTGACGGACCCCACCCCAGGTTGCGGGAGCAACATTGCTGTATGCCGGAACCTGCCTGAGATCCTGTACCTGTCCTTGCCTGGTTTCCTGCCTCGTGTCCTGCCTTGGCCCTGTCGGACTGACTCCTAGCAGAACCTCCAGATTCTGGACTGGTCCTGGACCGCCTTTCAAGGGTTACCCCCGGGCCCAGCACAGGCTGGAGACTCCTTCCAGGAGACTGAGTTTATGAACTGGACCTCTGCTCATATCATTATGGAGAAGTGATGCATGATTTGGTCTTCTGTTGCTCTCCACAAGTTTCTAGCCTTGCAAGGGAAGTTATCACGCTGATGTACAGTGCAGGGTTTCTTTCCACGGGGACAGGGAGTGATTTAATAAGCCTTGCAAGAGGGGGACGTTTTACAGCTTGTCATGTTGCTTGCAAATAGAGACCATCTTGCCCGTGGCAAACGGTGCCTTGCAGACTCCAGATGTGCTGAATAGGAATTTTGAGCTGGTGCAGGGTCTCTATAGACATAAGCAGCACTGGGGGGCGGGGCAAGGTCCAAGTACAAGAAAGTTCTTCGCCACCCCCATTCATGCGCAATGTCTGGATTACAAGTATAGATTGCAAAATAAAAACTTTTCTCTCTTTGGGAAGATCATAAACTCAGAGAAAACACAACTTACTACTTCATCCCATCGTTCACCCCCCTAACCACCCCTCTCCATATCAACAAATATTTATCCATTTACAAAAAACAAATATACCATACTTTTCCATGTATAAGACAAGCTTTTTTCCCTTAAAATATAATGTGAAAAATGTCAGTATATGGAAACATCACCGCTGCAGACAGCCAGTTTGTTGACACCACATGATGTGCTTATCTGTGGGAAAGAAGAATTTCCCAGGAAGTTCACAGGCTGGATAAGTCTTTGTGAAGAGTGTAACTTGAAACCTTCTGACTGCGCATGTTCAGGAAGTTTGTCTGACTTGCTAGAAGAACTGAATTGAAAGGACGTGTTTTTCTCTAGTGCTGTAATGTCAGAAATAAACACCATGTAAATAGTTTTCTGACTTATTTTCTTTCCCCTGCGGAAGCAGGAGAGAGGGGTTGTGCATTTTACCCACGCTTGGGAAAATGTCGCCTATCAAAATCTCCCTGGTCTGTCTGGATGTCAGCCAGAGGAGGTTACCGGTAAGCAAGCTCCGAGGACAGTGAGAGGGGCCAGCCTCTATGGAGGGGGCTTGCAAACCGAAAAATTGTGGGTCATCTTATACATGAGTAGTGCCTTGGGGGGTGGGACTTGGGTTTGGTTGCTGGTGTGAGCCGGAGCTTGTCAGTGGCTATTGGTTGTTTTAATGGTGGCTGCGGCAAGCTGTGTTGTTGATTGGCTGTTGCTGGGGCAATTGGGCGGGTGCATGGCGTCTTCTGCCAGAGAGGGGACCTTCAATTGGAGGCTTTAAAAAGGGGGAATCTTATACATGGGAGCGTGTTATACATGGAAAAATGCGGTATT